TTTTCCTTTTTTTTTTTTTTCTTTGTGTCTAGTTTAACTGAGCAGTTTAATTGAACTGTGAAGTTATCCCAAAATGTTAAAAATATAATTCTGTTTCTAAAAGTTTTCAATTAAACTGGTCTAGTTACAGAAAGTAAGTAGAATTAGGGATTTCATTCCTCTGCTGGCACTTCGACTTGATTTTTTTGATAATTTTTCTTATCAAGCAACCAAGAGGATGATTTGTTTTAAAGCTTGACTGCTCATTGAAAGTAGACAAAATAAGGATACAACAAAACCAGCAATGAAGGGTGAAGGTTAAATCCTCTGAACCACACTGCTCACATTAGAACCCACCTGCAGCATCACCATGAGGCAAGAACAATACTTGTGGTTCGCCTTCAGAAGGTATGCTGTGCACACCCATCACTCATCCTGCTGCCAAGATCTTTGCTATGTGCATTCAAGAGAGGGCAAACAATTTCTGAGTATTATTCTATGAAGGGGAAACTATATGGATAAAACAAAGATTTCTGATGTACATGAGGATTGCCAGAATATCCTTTTGGCAAGTGTCAAGTGTGGTGTTTAAAAGCAAGCCAGAAGCATTCCAAACATATTGAACACTTCCCTAAATAAACTGTGAAGTGTCCAGGTTGAAGACCTGTTTTCCAGCAAGGGTGACACAGGACATAACCGTGCCAGGCATCTTGAGCAACTGGAGAGCCTCAGACTGTCTGTCCGCCCCCTGACATCTCATGTCCTTGGTGCACCAGAACTACTTGAATCTGGTTCTCTTTCATGTCTTGAGCATATGACCTTCCAAAGACAACTTTTCCATGGGGACCCTGGAGTCCTGCTGTGACAAAGCAGGGGAAAATCAGAAAATGAATCATAATCCTTGGAAAATGTATGCATGCTTTCAAAGGGATCTTGGATCAAGTGATATAAGTTGGCAGCTTCTGAAGGTCTAGAAAATGAATGGGCAGAGATCCCCAAAGAGCTTAGCTTAGGAAAAAAGTCCTGCCATGTGCAAATGCATCATCTTTGGAAACAGCTGATTGTGGTTTAAGAGCGAGCAGGAAGTCTGGCCTGCATGGTTTCAGTGGAAGCTGATGCCTGCTTTAGGAAGCTCATGTAAAAGTGAACTACTACTGGTGTGAGCAGGGCTGACCGTGTGCAGCGAGGGGAACTCATGCTGAAGCATCTCTGGGAAGGATGCTCGAGGAGAAGACTTCAGGAAAAGGGAGTCGGGGATGGCTGTAACCTGGGAACAATAAGTCCTTTTTCCTTTGTTCATAGCGTTTCTTAAGAGGGTGTGTGTCTGTTGACTTTGTGGCCATAGAGGACAGTTTATTGTCTTATCAGTATTTGTAGGTGTTTTCCAAAGGGCACGTTAAAAAAAAAAGGCAAAAAAACCCAGCCCCCAGCCTCTGTTGACAGATGTACTGTTAACAGAGAAGAATGTCCTCTCTCCTCCATACTGTATTTGTGGGAACTACTGGCTATAATAAATATTATCTTTGAAAACATCTCTGTTTAAACTTAATCCTCCCATAACCCTTCAGCCTAGGCTGTGGCATGTGAAAACAGTCTGAAGTGTCCTTGCTCCATATGCTCATGCTACTGCCGGCTTCTGACTCCTTGTTTCTAGGACCCATTAAAGAAACCAGCTCATTCCTTAATGCTGTGTGTAAACAGGGAGTCACTTTGATTCACGTGAACCCGTGAATTGTTAAGCTGTCTCCCTCAGAGTATGTCTCTGGCAAATGTGTGTGCTCTACAATGCACTCCAGTTAACTTTTGGAGGTGGAGGCCTGAAGAGTTGTTATGAAGGCTGCTTCCCCCTGAGCTGTAGGTATAAGGAATGTGCTAAAACAAGAGTCAGCTTTCAGAGAATTGAATGTCTAAGTAGCTTCCCAACCACCAACTCCCCTCTGGGAAGAAAGGGTACCTTCTTATCTAGTCCGAATCTCTTCTATCTTCTCATTTTGCTAAGGAAATGTCAAGGCTGGGAACAAGTTTTGTAACTTGGCTGAAGCCTGAGGGAGGATCCTTGCCTGGCAGGCGGTACCTGTGCCCATTGTCTCCTAACAATTGTGAGGGGGTTATCGGTGCTATCTTTCCTTGAATGGTTTTGCTGCTTTTGTGTCTCCTTCACATCCCACACTGAACTCGGTCAGCTTAGTGAGATGTTACTGTAGGCGTAACAGCAGCAATTTACAGCATTCCTTGCGGGGCAGCCCTGTGCCTCTGAAAAACAGGATCCCTGATAACACGGGGCTTCGTAGCTGGAAAGAGATGGGAAACCGTGCCCGACTTCAGAAGACAGGAGAGAATCAGTGCTGTGCTTTGGAGCAATCTGTTACTGAACTGAGGACAAGCAATAATTGATTCCCCCTACACATGCACACACAGACCCGAAGATATTGTTGGTTTAGGTATTTCTGATTTGTTGTTCAGAGACCAGAGTTGGACTGCTGTTTTCCAGGTGCAACCTTTGGGAGAGGAAAATGCCTCTGGGGCAGGGTATCACACCTCGGGAAGCTCAGCAAATTCTGTGGTGATTGCATGCCCTCTTCCCTACCTTCCTGGCGGCTGCTATGTCATGCAGCAAGGGTAGGGAAGGCCACCTTTAAAAGATACCTTGGTGAGACTTGCCGGGTTTGTTATACTAATAATGCTTGATTAAATTGGAATGGGGAAGTCAGACCTGTCTTGATCTAATCAGAAGCCATTTGTTGAAGATGGTGTGTTGCTTTGTCAGAGCTGTAATTTGGTGTAGAGCATCAGGCTCTTAGAAGAAAGCAGCCAGCTGTTGGCCTTGGAGTATAGGTCGGATGCTGGCCTCTTTCCATTGAGTATGAACTTTAAATCCATGTGTGAGATCTGACTTTGAGGGGGGGGCAGATGTACAGTCTTGGCTTTCTTTACAAAGGACTTTCTTTTCATGGTATAATTATTGCTGAAGGAATTCTAGCAGGTGAGTGGCAGCATTCTTACCCCTTTCTGTATGGCAGGAGTTTGGTGAACAAAGCATTGGCTCTTTGTCTGTGGAAGGTATGATAAATCTATAAGATGTGCTACAGCTACAGACATAGTGGGATAGCTTCACTTCTTCCCTTCCCCCTCCAAATGAAGCAAGAAACAAAAGGAGCAGACACAGAGTTTATTGTAGCATCAGCTCCAGACTTGCCACATAGCAGTTTAAATGTCATCTTGAAATGATATTTCAAGGCGGGGGTGTATGCAGACAAAGAATTCTTCTTTGGTAGAGACTAATTGACTTAAAAGATCCAAATTTTAAAGATAGCCGTTTTGTGAAGTGAATATGAGCACAGTAGTGACATGGATCTAAGGAAACCCTCTTGTCACTAGCATGACTTCCAGGTTTAATGATAAATTACATATTCCCTCCCATAATGCATCTTCTTTTTTTCCCCTGAATAATTGGAAATGTGAGTGGTAGCTGTTGGAGTTGTGTTTCTCTGGTCACTGCTGGTGTGTTGAGTTCATCTCAGAAGTACTTAAGGATCTGAAAGTCATACTGCTTTACCTAGTAGTAGGAATATTAACCCACGTCTCCGGTCTGTTCTCACAGGTATGAAAGGTATAATACCCACCTCTGTGTTGCTCAAATTTGTTTGGAGATATCCAGCAGTTCTGAATTTTAATGGAAAATTTGGCAAAAAAAACCCCACAAAAAACCAAACCTTTAGTATGAATATACATTTAACTGAAGAAGCTGTAGCTGAATGGGATTTCCCTCAAAATTAGAAGTATTCCTGTGGTCAAGTGTAAAAAAAAAAACCACATTAATTTCTGCATTGTTGGCTTGTTGGTTTGGTTTGGTTTTTTGCCCCCTGAGAGTTTTAGATCTTTGTATAAGGAATAACATGGTAGAAGTGTTGAAATGTGTCTCCATGTGGGTTTCAGGGGTGGGTTTGTTTTTAATTTTTTGTTTGGCTTTTTTTTTAAAAATCTATTTTATTTTTATTTATTTTTTTACTCCAATCATTCACCCAGTTGTTTTTATCCCAGTTTTCTCCTTCCTTCTTTATAAAACCAGTACACACAGATTTTTAATCCCAACTTTCATTCATGAGCCTTAGAGTTACACATGGCAGTTACTGATCCAGGTCCAAAGTTACCATTGGAGGTCTTTCAGACTAAAACCATACGAGCTTGGTGGGACGTGTTCTGCTGAGTCTTTTTCCTTCATTAAGGGTTGGAGTTCAACTTTGTGCTTTCTTGATTTCCCAACTGCACTTTGTGTGTTTGTGTACGAGTCTAGTTTTGTTGTGACAGTGGCTGATAGGCTATGGCTGAATCCCTCAGTCCTCAGGTATGAGCAGTGTCACATCCTGCAGTTTTAATTGCTATGCTCTGTACTGTCAGAACAGTATATACCTGAGGTTTGTGAGCTGGTTTACATTCCTCCTCATGAGCATGTGTTTGCCTGCCTGCTGGCTGGCTGTCAGGATTTCTGTGCCTCTCCAGGTGGCTGAAGAAGCATTTGATTTATTTATCCTAGCTGTCTAGTACAGCCTGCTCTGTCTTGGAGACCTTCTGAACGGTGGTGGGGGTGTAGGAAGGGTGGCTCTCTTGAAGTTATTTTGAAACAAGTTCTCCAGATGCTATGTCCTCTGGGGTTGTCTTGAAAGGAAAAGCTAAAATTAATTGTAAGCTAGGCAGTCTTCACATCTGAAATATTAGAGGGTGAGTGAAAAGTTATGATCTCTCTAGAATGCAACTCCTTTTAGTATTTCATATGTGGAAGGTTGCCTTTTCTGCTCCTCTTACCTTGTGAATACTTGGTAAGATTCCTAAATGCTAGAACATGCAAAAGGTCGTTCTTGTTTGTTTCTGTATTTCCCGTTTTCCTCCCCTCCTCAGATGTTGTAGATGTTTGGCTCAATGCTTACTGTTTCTTTCCTTGTCTTTGTTTTTGTAGACTGAGGTGCTCCTGATCAACCAGATCTTTCAGGAATTTTCAAAAAAGAGACTTTGGTGGGTAAAAGATGTGCCATGGAATGGTAGCACCAAAGAGCAACACAGGATCGTCTCTTGCCTTGACTAGCCATGGGTTATTTCTTCTGCTAGTTATCTTTGGTACCTTTATCTTGGAAGCACAGGCCACAGGTAAGTGAAACCTTTGCATACGCTGCAGGGAAGGGGAGATGTATAAATATGGAGGTGGCCTTATGTTTTTATGGGAAAGCTGGTGATGGTCCATGCATTTGTACCTATCTTTTGGTACTCACAGGAAAAATTCCATTGCTGCTTGTTAAGCAGATGGCAGCATCTGAACTGAAGGTTTTGTATATTCATAAATAAGTGCTTGTCCTTTACTCTGTCATTTTGTTTTCCCCAGCTTTTTTTCCTTCCACTTTTATCCCTTCACTGAAGTTGGGGGCACTTGAACCATCTCAAGAGCATGGACCACATTTTGACTGAGATTCTTATGTAGACACTCATTGCTGTATGCCCTGTAGCAGCTGCTCATGTGAAGTAATTTTGGAAGCAGAGACTGTCTTCAGCTTTTTGCAGAGCTGATGAATCTGTTCAGTGTTCCCTTGTGTGCTATCTTCTGACACCTCAGCACCTGCTAACTGCATCCCTCTATTAGCTCCTCTTTTGCAGCTTCAGTTTTCCTTCTCCCCTTTCTAACTTTTTGATATTTATCTAATGGGCAAGTGTTGTGAATAATGTAAATAGCAGTGCAATGGGATGATATGTAAATGTCAGCAGAGATGAGGGGAGATCTGCCTTTTAGAAATGAGTGGAAGAAGAAAGTATATTGGATGCTCACAAGTTCATGATGTGAAGTATGTGTTTGTTTACCCAGTATACTCTGAAATGTGTTTTCTCTCAGACCAGCCTTGATGTAGCTTTTGTCTGTAAAGAGATGCCTGATCATAAGTGGCATTGGGTGGAAGGAATAACTTTGTGTGCTCTTGTGCAGAACTTTGAAGGTTAGTCCTGAAAAGGCATGTAGATTTGACTTCAGATCTGTTGCAATGCAGAGCATTAGCTTGCCTTTGAAAACAAAACTTGAGTTCTTGACATACTCTGAAAAGTCTTATTTATTTGACATATCGTGGCACCCAAAAATGTCCCATGACCAACACTTCTCAGCATCAGTGAAGCTTGCATTGGCCTCTTTGTGGTAGAGCAGAATAAATGCTAGTTGCCAGATGCACTCAAAGCCAAGGTGATCCTATATTGAAAAGTCTGCTGGTGCTTAAAACTGGAGGAGGAGTTGATCTCCTTTTAGTATTTCTGGCTCTTCGAGTTGGAAGGGAGAGGCTGCTGAAATCAGATATCCCAGACTTGTATGTCTTTCTGACCTGATTTTGGCTTCATAGGTAACGAGAGGTGGGGAATACACACGAGAGAGTGAGAAACTGTCAAGAACACATAGAGTGGGACAAGGTCTTTTTGGGTCTGGTCTATCGTTGTTTTTTTCCAGTCTTGCTGTTATTGATGATAATGTCACCGCCTCATTCCAGATGTAAGTCTGTCAGATATGCCTCCCAGCCGGGGGCTGGAGTGCACCATCCCCATCTGAAACGCCCATGATACACTGAAGCACCTTCAGTTGAGTCTGTAATCAGTATGCAGATGCCTTGTGCTGCATGGGGCAAGGCAGCCACAAGACTGGCAAGCCTTCTGAGTATCATTTTTGAGGCATCCTTTCACATTAACAAAAGCACTAGTTAAGCATGTCAGAAGACCCAAGAGTCTTTTCTGCATTGTTTCCCTTTCTGTGTTCCTTTTGCTTCAGGACCTAAAGCCAGCTGTGGAAAACTGATCAAGGCAGATCATCAGCTAAATAGGATTATAGTGGCTAGGCATGAACCATTTCCTGCAGGGGAAGTGAGAAAAGTGAGTGCATGTGGAGGGGAGCCCAAGATCATAGCAGAGGGCAAGACATGAAGGGGGAAAACATCCTGAGGAATGGCTTGCTGAGGAGAGCTTCCATGCACAGGTTTTCTGAGACTGGGAGGTATCAACCCAGCTGCCAGTTGTTGGGAGGGATGGGGGAGCTCAGCGGTGCGTCATGGGCCCGGAGAGCTGCACCTGCAGCAGCACGCCAGCCATGAGTAACGCTAATGAGCAAGTCAGCCGCGGAGCAGAGAGCCAGATGGAGAAACAAAGAACTCTGGCGAGACACTTGGAAAATCATCTTTCTCTCATCTTTGTCCCCCACCATCTTTGCTTCGTTACTTTACATAGCAAAATCTTTCAGAGCAGGCAGAGCAAAGCGATGCTAACGTGAAGCAAGAGATTGTATTAAATCTCTTGGTGGTAATGCTTATCTTGAATACGGGGCCGATGTGACACGCTCACAATTGCTACAAAAGCTGAAGAATATTCTCAAAAAAAGACAGACAAGCATGGAGACAATGGCTGGCTCAGCTCTCAGTGAGAAAGCAGAGCTTGTGAATCATATGTTTAAAACCATATGATGTATATTGTATTGCAATAATTTTGCTGTTTAGAAATTGTATTACTTGAGTTCCAGGAGGCTTAGATATATTCATTTTCTGCTCAGGAATGTGTTCTCTCTGCCATGTGTCTAATGCAGAGGGCAGACTCATTTCCAGTCAGCAAGCATCTGGTCTGTCCTCTGGTAATAAATTGATTTTATTTATGCATGGATTTTAAAGAAAAGTCTTCAGTGCTTTGTCTCAAGCAATCTATCCAAATATCCTGGAGTGCCACGAGATGAGTATGATAAGTTGCTTAGTCACTGAACACTGTAGAATTTGGGGAAACTGCTCCTTATTCACAGGAAGATATCCATGAATCTAAAAATAACCGCTGCACATATTTTAACACAAAACAAGTGCAGCATTTGGTGATGGGCAAGCAATGAAGCTATGTCAGAAGAGGAGGATTTATAGAAACTTCAGTGCTGTTCAGAAATATTTCGAGCCTTTATCGCTGTTTTGCCTTTTTTTCCTGTCTGACAAGTTCTCCAGGATTAGTTGGGGGAAGTAGTGAAGGAATAAGGAGACAAAGAGGCTTGGAAAGCAGGGACCTAAAATACTGATGCTTAGTTCTTCATCTGTGTCTTGTTTTCTTTTGAGGGTTCATCTGGGATGTAGTACCCTCATGAAAGAGCTGGGATGCTTAGTGGATAGAGGTGGGGAATTTTTGACATGTTGGAGAGGAGCAATAGCAACGATTTTACTTGCCTACAGATAACGCTTCTCCATTCTTTCTTTGTTGCTGTCTTCCTCCTGTCTCTGGCCCTTAAGGTTATTCCCAAGCTCTTGGAGGCCTTGTGTTTATATCTCATTCACAATAGTCCTCCTATCTGGCCGGGCTATTTTTGGAAGGATTAGAATAAGTTGTTCATTAAATTTTAACATGTAGTCTCTAAAATACTCTGAAAGCTTCCTATCATTTGTATTCCAAATGATGTAATCTATGTTGGATTCATAACCAGCTCTGTCGGAAACCTATCAAAACATAGGTTGAGCCTTTCATTATTAATAATAGCATCACCTGGTTCTGGGAAATGCAAGTAAAGGTGTTGATAGAAGTATTAAACATCCCAAATTAAGCAAATATTGATATCCATAAATGAAAGAGTTTAAATATTAACCTTTAAAACCTATTATTAATGTATGCTGAGTGAATCTAAGTCCATTTAGGTTTAGATGCAGCCTGATTTGTTGACTGATCATGTGTGAAATGCTATAAAGCTAGCTCTTTAGTTTTTGGGATTGCCATTAAAGTGATAAATTCAGCTTGAATAAACTGAAACGTCTTCATTCCTGCATGTTGTCTCTGACGCAAATGCAGCCAAGCTGCCACTTACTGTTCTAAGGTCTTTTCAGTGCCAAGGTTATTCTGCACAGAAGCTCTTCGATACTGCTGGTATTTGTTTGCATTGCATAGAACAGCTTGTTAGAGCACACTCCATCACTGAGCAGATTCAGACTTGTTCCTGCTCTTTGGGAATCTGTGAAAGGCAGAGGTTTCCTTTGTCTCTGATTATGCAGCTGTAAGGAAAGTGTTTATGCAGCTAGGCATGAATTCAATGGTCATGAAAACAAGGGCACTATAACACTGGATGGCCAGACAGAAATGTGGGGAGGTGTCGTGCTTGAACAGAGGATCTTGATTCTAACTTGTAAGCTTCGTGTGAGTGTGGATTTGGAGAAATTACAGGGTCAGTCCAAAGGAGTGTGTAGTTCTGCATGGAGAGAAGGGGAAGCAGTTTCAGGTGCAATTCCTCCTCTCAGTCCCTTTGAAGACTTTAGTAAGGGCAGAGTGGTACAGAAGAACATTGTGAAGAGCTGTGGAATAATGGCTAGGCTGCAAAGATGGCTAGGAAGGGGTTGCAGACAGGCCCAGAACTAGACTATTTGGATAATAATATTCTTACTGTTACCACACTGATCCAGGCAGTGATATTTTTAAGCAAGTGGTTTAGGGGGATTAATAGAGATTTCAAGAAGCCACACAATTTGTTTGTTTTTAACCAGTTCTAATGGTTGAAGGATGAATTAAAGCTGTGTGGTGTTTACCTACCTGCTGGATTAAACCACAACAGCATAAGAGTAATCCTGAATTTTCCCTTTGTCTGTCCTAGGTTGGCTCAGCAAATCCAACGGACCTGCATGTGAGTAGACTTATAGTCAGTGCTGTAATATGAGAAATAAGTGTGATGTTTTACTGGTTAATATAACTGGCTATGAGCTGTGATTCCCATCACACTTCTCTTGTGTTGTATAGGCTGAGATCCATCTCTTTGCCCTGTTTTCATTGTTGTCCATTGTATTTGTGCCCTCAGTTTGAGAGAGGAAGATAAAGTTTATATGTTTCACTGTGCTTGAAGGGATCCCTATGCCTTCTAGAGCATTTAACTTCAGATTATTCAAGAAAACACAGATAGAATAAATACTTCATTAAAACACACAGAGAGATGCTGCTTGTGAGAGTTTTGAGAGGCTTCCAGAGAGGATTGAGAGGACAGAGAGGGCAAGCTGAGGCAAAACCCATTTGTTTCCTTTAATCAAGAAAGGTGAACATCTCGTCAGAGTGTGACTCTGGATATATTCCATTGGATACTCCTGCTTCCTGCTTTCCGTTTCCTGTGCTTGGAAAAAGTCTAAAATCTTTCCAGTGGGCATGTTATGGATGTGTGTTAGGGGGGAATTTGAATCATATTTGGCTTCTGTATCTGTTCTGGCAGGAAAATAAGCTGCTGCTTGAGCTAGAATGAGAAAGACACTGCTTGTAACAAGCTGTGGATAGTCAAGAGTGAAGGCAGGGAGCTGAAGGCACTTGAACAACAAGCTCAAAAGTGCATGTATCTTTGTGAGAGTAATTGAAACTCAGTGACAGGAGTATGGCATTGTCTCAAGAGGTTGTACCTGCTTATCTGTGTGCACTGATCTGCATCTAAAATCCATTTTCTTTCTAATGAACTGAAACCTCTGGGGAGTGTTCATCTTCCTCTGCAAGCAGAAGTTCCCCTGGGGCTCTGCTTTTACAAAGTGTTGTACTGGAGTTGGAGGACTGGTGAATTCCTTGCTTCCAGATGCGGTGAAAGGGATTTGAAGTAACTCCTTAGGTATGGGGCTGCTTAGGTGAGTTACAGGATGTGCTAGGTGGACTGGGCTAGAGGGGCCTTTTTGCTGAACTGTTGAAGAATAAAATGCGCTTTTTGGCTCAACCTATTACAGCGATCCTTTTATTATAGAAAAGGGAGGAGAATTCCTGGAGTTCCTGTGCTGAGACAACTTCCAAATCTCAAGAGGTGGTGGGGATCCTCTCACACTGCTTGCATACCTTGGCCTGGCTGGTGCTGGCTGGAGGTGCCTCCTGTGTTCCTTCTCTATAGGGCAATGTTGTGAATGCAAGGATAAGTGCATTTATCTACTTGATGTTATAGGAAGCATTACAGGGGAAGCAGAAGCCAAAGAATTGAACAGTAGGGTACCAAAAGAGCATCTTAAAATCCTGTGGGCTCAGCATTTTAGGTCTAGCCAGTCATCTTAATTCAATGAGGAAAATCTTTCTTGTTCGAGGTCAGAAGGAAGCATGGCTAAGGCTTTTGAGATGCATCTTTTACCTTGTCAGTAAAGGGAGAAGCATGTCTGATTTGAAAAATACTGTAGAGATAAGCACCTCTGGTGGGTGGACATCTTGAATTTTCAACCCACAGGTAGGGAAGAAGCATGGTAGGCCTGATGCATGCAGAATCATAACTAGCAAGCCAGAAGCTGCTGCTGCTTTTCTGGCTTGAAGAAACATTTTCTATGTCCTGAGAAAAAGCTCAACACGATGTATAACGAGTTTTGTGTCAGACATATCCTTAGGTGCCCATAAAATTGTCCATCAGAGAATAAAACTGTTTTGTGATCTTACCAATTTTGTTCAGGCAACTTTGCATTCTCTTCTGCTTCTTTTTCAGCAGAGATGTCAGCTGCTGAGACAACAGGTGAAGTTCTTCTGGTTTAGGTAGAACTAGAACATTTTGAAGGAAGTGGAGGTACCTGGAGACTCTTCAGGCATAGAAAAGGACTAGAAGTGAGTAGAGGTTTTTAGGAAGGTGGTAGAATAGACTGAAGGTGAATAAGGATCAGGGGAGAATAAGATTCTAGAAAGGAGAAAAGGGAAACAGAGCAGTGCAGCAAAACAGAGGTAAAGGCTTCCACAGGTGGAGTTGTGAAAAAGATCCTGGTGGTTTAAAAAGCCAGTTAGTTGCTTGATGGTTAAGTAGTGTAAGTCCTGAAAGAAGGTAGTGTTTCAGCTATGCAAGCAATTTAGAATGGTTGAGAATAGTATGGTCTGGGAGGAAAATCTCTAGTAGAAGTATATACATACGGGTATGTCTGGTTTTTTGTTTTTTTTTATTTTTGGTTGGATTTTTTTTTTCTTAATACAGCAGGATGCAGGATATGCCTTCACAGTATGAGGCTTTTGAGGCTTTTCCATATGCAACAGAACTGGCTAAGACACTAACAGAGAGCTTAAGAATTTGAGGGTTACAAAGTGTGTGTGCCCTCCAGGGACTGAAGCTTCAAGGCATGAATCTCCTCAAGGCAGAAGCAGAGCAGGGTGAAGATGCCAGTTACTGGAGCACTGGCTGTGTCTGCATACAAGTGCTTTCACATGATGGCTGGGGATCTGATGGGGAGAGAAACTGCAAAAGACCATATAGCAACTGTATGTGAAACAGGACATAGGGAGGAATTTCAAGTGGAGGTTGCTGCCATGTTTAGAGAAATATCTGTAACTTTCTCAGAAAGTTCTGCTTTTCTTAGTTTGTGTTCAGTTTTATAGTTAACAGCTGCTTTGCTCTCCCTCATCATTCTGCATTTATTTGGCTGCTACACTCACTGTAGAGGAACCCTTCCTTGTAAACAAGATAAACCTGCTAAAGCTGCTAGACCCTGGATCCTTGTCAACACCAAGATATTTATTGGTCTCTGCTCATGTGATGTTTTCCTGGTGGGTCCTCTGTGTCACCATATGCATGGAATGAAGTTATATCAGAGCAGGTTAGGGACTTCTGGTGCTGCTTCTCTTCACGACCTCCCGCATCCTGGAAATTGATATCCAGGAGACTTACCTAATGCTGTGGAGGCCTTTAGGAACATCTTTCTGGTGTGTCACACGAAACTCACAGCTGTTGGGTTATCCCTGCTGGAAGATAAGTGTGGGTTTTTAATGTTGTTTCCTCTGGCCCATTCCACTCCTATCTTCAGAGCAGCTAACTTTGAAACTTAGTCCAAGGGACGCACCTGCTGGGTAACTAGTCTCCAGTAGTTCAAGTTTTAGACCTGCTGACATGCTTCTTGTGAAGAACCGGTACTGTCAGACTTGAGCTGAGCCACGTGTTACACTGCAGCACATCTTTACTTCTCTTTGACACAGGTAAAGGATCGTAACTATAATGCTCAGTATTATCCTAAAACTAGCACTTCTTCCATTCTGTTGGTGGTTTTGCTTACCCTAGCAAAAGTAACTTTTGAATCCTTCTGGAGATCAACCTTCAGGCTTCATTGTAAACACTTTTTTGGGCATAATTGACTTAGGTTGTACAATACTAAGAAAAGATAAAGGTTTTGTCATTTGAGTAGTTAGGTTCAACTGTGGCTTTTATCTCAACTGAGGAAATCATTCATTTTTTTTAATATGTAAGCTGAAAAGCCTGAACATAGCCACAAGCTGCAATGAGTTTTGCCTTTCAGTGTGAGTCTTAGTGAAATTCATGAAAATGGCAAGTTTGTTTTTCCAATTGTATACTTTTAGTCCTCTGTTTCTTTGTCTTTCCCAACAAGCTAGTTTTGTTGCAAATGTTATGATCAGCAGCCCAAAGCAGAAGTTAGTCTTGCTGCAATGTAAAAGTATGATGTCTTTGAGCTAGTGTCATTTTAACCTTTGAGCCTTTCTGCTTTGAATCTCTTTATTTGTATTTACTTCTCGAATACTTGAATGTTAGTTTTAAGTTGATGGTTTGCACTTTGGTGGTGGCTGTTTCCTCCATGACATTTAGTAAGCTAGAGTCCACTTTTGGAATAGCTGGGAGAGATGTACAGTGCTGTGAGAGCTGAGCTCTCTATTGGTACAGGATCCTATTTCAGTTTTGTGTCACTGAAGTGTTAGTGAAACAAATAGTTTGCAAGTTTCATCTTAGGCAGATCACAAGACTGTCAGTCAGGCACTATTAGCGTACTTGTGCTGTGTGGGAGAGGAGGTGCATGCAGTGGTAGCCTGATCACCGTCTGCTGGATGCCTTTGATGGGCAAACACACTTGAAGTACAGTGTGGGTGCTGTGCTGGAAAAAGTTAGCCCCTGTGAGAAGTTCTGCCTCCTCTTAGCACCCTGGAGAACTGACTGCCCCTTAGCACGTGCCTCCAGCACTGTTTTTTCCCTTTTTTTTTGGTGGTTTTTTTTTTTTTTTTTTTGTTCCTGTCAATGTTGCCTTGGTCATGTTTGGTCCCACTTTAACCAGCTCTTTCCACTGATGAGCTGATTCCATGTAAGAATTGACTCTTCGGATGGGTAGTGGTATGACGGCATGGGGGAGAGGGGATATTGCAGCCTGTCAGTTGGTATGCAGGCAGGGCTGCTCTTAGCATCCTTGATTCTTGCCGTCAGTAAAACTAAGAGAGACTGGTGGAAGCTGCTAATTGGGGGTGTTGTGAGGAGATGCATTCTCTTGACTGCAGTCAGGGTGAGCAAAGACTTGACTATTTTACTGCATACCTCTGGCCACCTCCCACTTGTCTGAGGCAGGTCAGGAATATTTCACACTTGGCTGTGTCAGGTGCTGTGGAGAGATTTGAGAGGATGAAAATGAGTGTCTGTTCTGCATTATCTCACAGCAGGGAAGCATCTATCACTAAGTCTGCTTCCATCCATTGAACTCTTGACTTAATTAGTTTCTTTAAGTGGAGAAAAGTTTTTCTCCTGACATTGATTGGTTAGTAGCAACAAGGGAGGGTGGCTGCAGAACTGAAGCTTTTGTAGTTTTAATTTCAAGATTATTTGGATTTGGTGGCAGCATTTCAAAGCTGCTTGCCATTGTGCACCCTGCATAGACAAAACCAAACACATCTCCCTTTCCAGAGCAGTCTGCGCCTTTCTTCTTTCTGTGGGGAATAGAG